CCCGTGCCTGGGCACCAGGGCATCGTACGGCGGGAGGGCAGAGTCCTCTGGGGCCCTGTGCTCCGGGCCTGGGCAGGATTCGCTCCCTAGTGCCTTGCTGACGCCTGTCAGGCCCCAAGCAATGGGGCTTCCTCTCTTCCCTGGGAGGCCGTTCCCCCATTGAAGTAAACGGTGAAAAGCTCTCCCTGCCCCCCGTGCCCTGGCTGCTCTGAACGCCCGTTGCCAGGCGGGGCTCAGGCAGTATTGCTGCAGTATTCCAGGGCCCCACGTCTGCACAGGGCCCTCGAGCCTGACCTGCGGCACCTCCTCCCTGCCTGCGCCAGGCCCCGGGGGCTCCCGGCTCCACTCCTGGGGCAGGGAGAGCTGTGGGGAGGCAGCTCAGCCTTCTCCTTCGCGCTTCCCTTCCCTCCCCGAGAAACGTGGGGCGGGGTGAAGAGGTGGAGCCCTCCGTGGCACCCCCGTGTCCCCTGCCCGCCTCGGGAGTTCCCGGTCTCTGCCCAGATGGGGAGTGCTCGAGTCCACGGAGGGGCGTGCTGATTCCCCTCCAGCTTGTATGTCCTCGGGGGAGACCCTGGCCTGGGCGGGGGGGACGGGGACTGGGGTATCTGAGGGGCTTTCATGCTCCCCCGGCCCCATATTCCCTGGCTTGTTCGTCAGGAGCTCGGAGCTCTCGGCTGGCAGCGGAGGAAAGACCGGCAGCACCCCCCTCGCAGGGCGGGGGAGCGGCTGGCGTTGCCCGTCCCGCTGGCCGAGGGCAGCGCCGGTGGGAGCTGAGGCAGGGTCCCTCACTTGGCCGCGTGGCCGACTCCTGTGCCGTTCAGCCCCGCTCGGTGCCGGCTCATGCAAGGGGGTGGCCAGGGTAGAAGGCCCAGGGGCGTTCCCGCTGTTCCCCAGCCCGGTTCAGAGCTGCTGCCTCCCTCCCCTCCAGCCGGGGGTCGTCCCCTGCAGCCTGTTCCCTCCCTCCGCCCGGCTGCCCCTTCGGAGACTGCCAGCCCTCGGCCAGGCTCTGAGCTCCGTGTCCCACGCTGGCTCTGTGCTGCCCCTCGTGGCTCTGCCCCCGCCCGTCCATTGGAAGCTGTGGCCAAACCCTCTTCCCCCTGCCAACGTGCTACCGACCAAATCTCAGCGTGTTGCAAAAACTGTATTTTTGTTGTTACTGATCTATTTTCTAACGTGCCGTGTCCGTCTCTGCCGGGGGAGCCGGTGCCTCCAGCGCCGCGGCTCCGGGTCTGGTCCGTTCTGTTTGGCAGGGAAGGAAGCTTTGGGTTTGGGCGGTTGGATGGTTTGTTTTTGTGGTTTTTTTTTAACAAATGAAGGAACCCTGATCAGCTGGAGCCTGAGCCGTGGTCTCTGCCTGCCTGTGTCTGTCAGTCGCCTCCCGTCTCTGCGGCGTCCCAGGGGACTGGGCCTGGCCCGGAAGAACCAAGGGGTCAGATTTCTGCGGTGTGCTAATGTCCTGGCAGGAGCCTTGTGGGGAGCCCTTGGCAGGCCTGGCGGGAGGGCACGTCGGCTGCTGGGCTGAGCTGGGGGCCTGGCGGGGATCTGGGATTGTGCGAGGGGGAGACGGGAGCAGCCGTTCTGCAGAGGAAGAACACAGGCCGCTGGGCCGGTAGAAACGGGGGGAAGTTGCAGGCTGGGGCGGGAGGGAGGCAGCCGCCCCTCACGGGGGATCGGTTTCTAACAGGCGGAAGCCTTGTACTGCCCCTCCCACGAGGGGAGATGGCATCCCCGGCTCCCGAGCCCCTTCCCTGGCTGGGGGGAGGCAGGAGGCTGATGCACAGAGCTATTGGGGTCAAGCAGGGGGCGAATGCAAAGCCCAGACCTACCTCACCGCCCCAGCACGTTTTTACGGGCAGAGGCGCCCTGCGGTTCAGGGCTTGCCAGC